TGCACAACTTATACTTCAATACGTATTAAGTAAAGTCAAGATGAAATTGCTGCGTCAGACAGAAGTTACTGCTTTCATGTTCTGGGTATTGATAGAAACAAATTAAATTAACAAACGCACACTGCATCTATGATACATACACATATAACTAGTAAAGAAATACGCTGAAAAAAGAGCGCATTTAATCAGATTTGGTATTATATTTAACAAAACAATGACATTCAAAATAAAATATACCGAAATACCTATACGTACAAATTTAATAAAAATATAACGTCTTTATACGTGGTTTCTTATTTATGATAAGTAATCGATTCCACTCACGTCTTGTTCTGTGATAACTAGTCGTTATTTATTTTGTCAATTAAAATTCGGAACAGTTTTGTGTAGCTTTTATATGAGATTGTGAATATTGGACTTTTTGTATATCAATAACTAAAGCATACAACAGCGTTAATTTTTTTATTATTCATTTTTATTTTTACTATGACAAAACGCGAAAAAGTTAACATACACTTTTTCGAACTTTACTCAAAGTTTACGCATGCCTTTTTATAAAATACCTAGTAGATTTCCTATAAAGTATTTAAAAAATCAGAACTATTAAGAATATTCATCAGATTTTTAAACTGATATACCTACCAATAATATAAGAATAAAAAAATTAAAATAATAATTTAAATTTATATAATTTGTAATAATTAGAGATGTTCCAGAGATTAGAGCGTCTAAACATCATTATAGTTTAATCATCATTCTAATCACTGGAACAATTTTTTTTATATTTGACTCACTTCTTGAGGAAGGTACTGCTCATGTTTATAGGCGACGGTTACCACTTTCCATCAGGTGGAGCGACAGCTTGTTTGCCATTCTAAGTTGTATAAAAAAAAAAGGTTATAGACTATTCAACAATACAACAATAAGTGAAGCCAAATGAACAACTAGTATATACATACGATTATTTAATACAATCTTTTTTTATTAAACAATATATTGAAGAACAACATGATTGATGAATTATTGAACAATACATTAATATTTGTATAATTCAATAAGACCATCCACCTACTTTAATACAAAACCTGTTTGATCAGGAATTGATCTTAATACATCTAATTAGCGACCATTAACATCAGAATTTCAATATATGTGGCAAATGTGTTTTTTAAATGATAAATTATAAAACTATTATGAAATTGTTTACATCGACATTTAAATGTCATTGATATGTAAAAATGAAATCTTAAGTAGAAATTTTGGCGACTGTATACATTTGGCAGTGCCGAATATATTATATCTAAGAGATAGATTATGTAAAAGGTAACTAACATCGTTTATTTTTATTTTATTTTTTTTGTTTTTAAACTTTTTTTTTTATTATAACGCGCGATTATGTCGCCAATTCTAAACCGAATTTTATAATTATTTCTTAAATGGATAAGCTTTACTCCTATACTGGTCCCATAATAATTTTGTGACAATTAAAACAGTAAATTTACAGAATAAAAAACTACTTGTAAAACATGATTCTTCTATCTAAATTAAAATATTTTCAATCCAATATGTTTATCGAAACGTCTCACGTTCGCGATTGTAGTCACTTTTTTGCAGTGTAAAATTACTTGTAAATGTCATACTTGTTAATAGGTGTTGATCATATCCTTTCTACTACACTATTATAATAGTAAAAAACTTGGATATTTGTCAATTATGCCTATAGACATTTGATAAAATTTTGTACATAAATAGACCATATCCAAAATTAAAATATGTCTGTAATTACTTCTCTCCATCCAAAGGTTGCCTGGAATAGATCGCTTTTAGCGATAAGGTCGCCCATTGTTTTCTCATTATGATCATTTCTTGTAATTGTTTATATCTATAATAAGTTTACTATTGTAATCTTTTGGAGAAAACAATAAAGAGTATCTATTTATCTATAGGGTGTTTTCATGCGGACAATGTTACGAGATGCAACTAGTTTGTCCGTGTACAAAATTTACTGAAACCTATTTAGATGTTTAAGTGTTATTGTATAACAGACATCCAGATTTTATATTTATAGGATTTTTTATACCACTGCTTGTTTGCCACTTGCAAACAAGCATACGGCCACCTGACGGTAAGAGGTTACAAGACTGCATTTATAGAATACCAGAAGAATGCCTATATAAAAGTATGTTGTACTAGCTGTTGTCCGCGACTTTACACGGGTGGTGTCATGCCTCCCATTTAAGTTGAAATTTCTAAAAATCCCTTCTTATCTGCAAATGCTTATAAAATAAATTCCAACTTTACTACTACAACTATATTCCAACTTTCATTTTCCTGGACTTAGTTATTTTAGCTGTATATTAACAGTCAGGATAAACAATTTTATAAGTATAGATTGCCTTAACTACAACTACATTTTCATCATTACATTAGAAATGTATTTCTTGCGAACTGCGCAACAAGTTAAAAAAAATTTTATGTTCCAAATCGAAATCAATAACACCTGATTCTCGCAAGACGGTATCAATTAACCTGACTGTTAGATAACATTAATAACCATTCTTTCATCTGGTTCACAGTTCTCATGGTTGGTTCTCACGAATGCGCCGACGCATCGTGATCTAGATGCTCTTCGGCGATAGTACATAGAGGTAAACGTGAGGGACAAGCACGAAGCGTTGCCAAAATTTCCACTGAAATGTCTTTATGTTACATTTAAACTCCTGTTGTGACGAACTTTGCTGAATACAATGTCAAGTCGAATGATGGAACCTTTTGTTGACTTCCGTATCATAATGTTCTATAGATTGATAAATGTAAAATTCTAAAAGGCATTTAAATATATTTCATTTAAAATTTCAAGCCACATGAATATTCCAATATAATTCTTATGATAACAATTATTATAAATATGTAAGCAAACTTGTTAACTTTATTATATGTTACTTTTTGGAGGCTTAACGTTTCGACCCATTCTCAAGTTCAAAATAAACTTATCTACTATAGGTATCTGGAATAGATAAGGAAATAGGTCACACGGACAAAACTATGGATGAAACCTAATATTATTATAAATGCGAATGTTAAGATTATTGTTTGTTACTCAGTTTATTTGAATTTATAAGTTTACTTGAAAACTGGCAAACCGCCCCAGCTTCGCATGATTTTTTTTAAATAAAATAAAGCCCGTTGTAATGTAACTTTTTAAAGATTTTTTTTAAATCTGTTAAATATTATTATTTAATTTATCACAAACATAAAATTGTATCTTCTCCCGTTTAATATTAATTTAGATACGACACAAAGGAACCACGTTATCGTATTAACATATAAAATTATTTTTATACGGTCGTATGAAATTATAAATAATATCACTATATACAATTTTATGTAAACTAAGTATTAGCTATTTTTATATACCTAAATATTGTAATAAAAATAACACAATTACCTAGACTTACAAGTGTATATTTAAATTAATTTACATAGTCGTCCACCAATTCCGAATTAAATTAAATTCAATAAATACTATAACATATACTATTCAAGCTGATTGTAAACGTTTAGCAATTGAGTAGGAATATGTATGTAATAGGTAACCTAATTAACTTCTTTGACCTATGTTTTTATATCTTAAAATATAATATTTAATATAAATAAATAAAACATTTATTAAATTTATTGTTAAATGTAATTCTTTGTTATTTGCGGCGAGAATCATATAACAATATAATAATAAGTCGGGTTTCCCCAGATTTACACTAAAAGCTGTCGGCAGAACGCATCACGACTCGCGCCTTTCAAACTGACTGCCATTTGTAAAGTGGCAAGGATATCACGAAACCGGGGGAAATCCAGCCATAAAATCGACAAATCACACGATATACGGACCCCATATCTGTTAAATCCAACTGAACAATGGATTATGAGAGATTATAATGACAATAGAGCAATAGGATCATTTAAAACAAATGTCTTGAGTGGTCAACATCTTAAATATTTATACAAGCTGAATGCGTGACTTAAAAAGCATAAACCATCCAACGAACAAATCTTCAAGACCAATATTTTAAAATGATGACCTGTCAAAACATTAAGCGTTCAATTAGTGACACCATATTGACAAACATAAGTTCACAACGTACAATGGTCATTGTAATCGTATGTAGTTATTGACCGCTAATAAATATAATGACAAAAATAAGTTCCAATTCAAACCGCAGACATGTATTAACTTGTCTTAAAAAAAAAACCTCAAATAAACCTATAGACTCGATTAAAAGGTTTCATATATAGATCGATATAAATGCGTCTTTTATTCCCATCTATGTTTATGTATCAAACTCTTAAAACATAATCAGTAGATAATACTATATCTATGATTCAATCTGTATTTAACGATATCTACAACTATATGTGTTGTAACTCTAGTGACGGTAGTTGAAGAAACAAATGTCAGCTACCGACAGCAACATCGTTTTACCTACCCTAGTTAGTCTACCCGTTAATAAATTTAGTGCAACTAATTTGAAACGGGCAAGTGAGGTAAATATATATGATGAAATAAATATTAGGACAACAAAAACTATGTGATATTCATATTCCACCTACCTATTAAAACGTATAAACAAAAATAATATTAAAAAAGTTTGCGTTTTTCAACGACTGTTCTAAATCTTTGTGTTTTTACAATTCAATAAATTTTCAACTTGTCAATATGATGCGACATAATTATGTAGGTTATATTTTACTTAAAATTTTTATGTTGTTCAGTAGACACCTAATGGTTTTATTGTTTTATAACTATCATTTGTTTTCATAAATATGTATATCTATAATCTATTATATTTTCGATAATACAAATTTTTTGTTTGTTATAAACTTACGTTGTAGTTTATTTAAAAACGATATCCATTCTTTTTTGAGCAGTCATATTAAAATATGCTTCCTACTTAATAGTAATAAGTAACAAAATAATGAGAGTTCTATTTCAATTGTTTCAGATAAAAAACCGCAACGCGTGTGTATCGTAGTGAAATATTGTGCAGTGCAGTGTCCCTCGTTCCTACTATGAGAAGACGCTCGCGCAGCTAGACGCTCCCACGGTTACATTATTATGCAAGTGCGGCCGTGCCTTATATTGACTTAGTGAGTTGACATTTCGCACCAATGCCGACTGAATAAGCGATGGCTTTAGCTAATTTCACGCTAGCGGCAGCTTCCGCGGCAACACCGGCACTAGTACCTACTTCCGCGACACCAGTGCGTGTTGATCTTGACGACTTGCTCTATTCTCCAGAGGGACAACAAGCGGACTACCCACAATCTTCGAATGAACCTTTCGCACCGCCAGCTAATCAGCAAAGGAGGTCGAAGCTCCGAAAACGAGCCGGTTCCGCCTACCTTCCTCCCCCGAACCAGTTTACACATTACCCACACAATGACGTCCCACATAATCCATACAATGGTCAGTTGCACTCACAGGTATACCAACAGAATACAAGACTTGACGTACCGATAGAAAATCAACGATTGCAAGATATGAATCGGTACGATAACACGGGACAGTACATTCATGACCCCAGCGGGGACTACGATTATGAACAGAGGAGAAGTAATCAAAACGGACAATACCCATCTTACAATCCGGGTTACGCGGACTCGCCGTATACGACTGCGACAACCCCATCCCCTTCTAGTCGGAGATTCGGTGTTAATTCGAACCAAAATGTTAATAACTTCAATTATAGACCAGCCACTACGGCAGCGCCTTTGCCACAGAGGCCAAACAATGAGGCTAAAACAAAAACGGGAAGTAGTATTAGTGGTAGCATTGGACAAAACCCACCAGAGCGACCTCGAGGGTTTACGAAAGTAGAAACTGGCAGTCCTGGCGGAAAGACGCAGCTCCATGCTGTTCTCGATTATGACGATGACTATTACGATGACGTTCCTGGACCTGGTAAATATACTTAAATTTATTTATTTATTCTGCTTTTATAAGCGTAAAGTCATAATTTACGAAGCATTGCCATATTTCGGTGTATAAAGACCTTTTCAGTTGACAGTTGTAATATTATTAAATGATTTATAGACAAGGAGCCAATGGCTAGCGTAACGAACGTATGCTAACACGAGTATCTTCCTCTATGGGGATAGACCTATAGCTAGATGTAAGGTGGTAATAACTGCTGTTATGGAAAAGATTGTTATCTTATATATTCTTTTTACAAACGTTAATCATGCAATAATAATTAGATACTTATTACATAGTAATAAACATATACATTAAAATTATCTTTGTAACCTGGTCTAGACTTCGAGTGAACAGTCAAGGTGGTCAGCTCGACAATTAAATCCTGTTCAGTATTTGTTATAAGCGAATATGAACTTAATTAGTAACAACAGATCGTTACCCGCAAAATGGTCGCAAAATATCTATTGAACATAAAGTACCTACTGTGTACGGACCAATTAAACACTTCCACTACGAACCGATATTTGGATAGCGGTACAAAATTTAAAAGAAAGCGATTATTAGAAGTGAACGCTTCGAAAGGTATGTAAAGCAAACATGCAATAAATCACGCTAGAAGTCTTCGTCTATCGTGATGACAGTCTAGAAAATCTATATATTCAATTATAATATATATATATAATAGTTACAATTCATGTTACATAAGACAATATTTTTAAACTTATAAATATGTAAAATAATGGTAAATATTTTTTATAAATTACTTTAATTATATTTTATTTAGTCAGTCAAAGAGGAGCAAGATCTCAATTCGCCAATAATATTTTTACTAATTCAAAAGCAAATTTAATAATTATTTTTGCTGACGACATTGAGTTTTTTTTTTTTCATAAAACGATATCTTTCTTATATTTGAATTATTAACCATAATAATACTTTGTCAGTGAATAAATGATGCTACAAAAGTGATATAGGACTAATATGGGAGTAAACAAATTCTCATCTTGGTCCTCTCTTCTAATCATTTACTTATAAATTGTTTACAAAATTTTAAGTTATATCTCATTTCTTTGTATAAAAACATAATATTTAATTATTAATGGGCGTTTTTACACATAAATTAGTAGTTGATTTTTATTAAATGATCCTAACAATACAATATTTTAGAAGCAATTTCAAATTTTGCAATATTTTCTTCTCAAACAAGCATATTGAGCAATATTTACATAAATGTTTAAAATGAGCAAATATACTAATTTAAATGTATAATTTGTATTTATGTAAACATGAAAATCGACAGTGCATCTTCTCTGAATAAAATGCACATCTTCATGTTTCCAACTTTCGAAACAGACACGTCACAGTTACATCATTATATCTTATTATATTTTCTAAGATTTTTGGCAATTTAAAACAATATACATATGTATATTATTAAATAATCAATCTATAGTATCTTTTCCAATATATCATTATACTTCGACATGGCACGGTATTTTTAATAAAATGTAGCATGTTACTCACCGATAATGTAACTTTCTATAGTGTTTCTTATTTCATGATTGGTTTTTTATAAAACGAATAATTATTCCGATCATAAGATATCTTCCTGGACTTTTATTTTAATTAGATATATTTTATTAGGTATAACAGTAGTACATAACAAATATCAAATAATCGATTGACTTTTTTTATTTGTTGTTGATTTAATTTTAACTTTTTATAATAGTTTTAATAAGTTTCTATAATAGTTCAGAACTTGGTTATGTTTCCATTAAGCTCTTTTGAAACAGACAATACATGTATTATTCAGTTACGTATTTAATTTGTTATTGAATAATCGCTTAAGCGTATGTCTTGAATCATTCACGAGGCCTTCGAACGCTTTAGTGCCGGGCGCCAATGCCAAATAGACAATGGCCAGTCTACTGCAGACGTTGATACATGAACACGAATGTCGCCGTGTCCTAGAAATGTCTTAATTCCGATACAATAGTTCACCATGTAGACAGAATACATACGTGTAGATGAAAAGTTCAGGCTGCACATTGCATAATGATAATAATTACGTCAAGTTGGCCGCCTGCCCGTTCGTTTGAGACTAATACAATCAAGGCTCTAATTCTGATACATGTAGCGATTGTGGTTTTTTTTATGGTAAAATTTTAAATGTAGTCTACAGAGTGCACTAATTTACGAATGAGGAGACAGGTCGTTCATGTAGTATGACGTATGGACCAAATCACAACTTAGAATTCAACCTGACTCACGTAACTTTAACAATCCTGGGTTTAAGATCTAAATAAACTGAATCTTGAGGTATTAAAATATGGTTTAATACTATCAGTTTTCGTGTGTATGTATTCGTTATGTCTATAAGTAAACATAGGCTTTTAATTAGTTATGACTTTAGGCTAATTATTAAGATAACAAGTACGAGTTTTTATTTTGCAAAAATAGCTTATTGAAATCGAGGACATACATACACCAAACGACAAAATATTTCGTAGATACATTTAATGGAAAATATCTAAAACTATAAATCAAAATCGCATATATATACTTTTAACTGTCACATAGTTTAAGGTTATGTTCCACAAAAAAAAAAACTAATTTCTATTATTGGTTTTTCCAAAACTAAACTACTGAAACGATTTTAATAAAATTTCTCTAGAATTAATCTGTAGGTAAGTGTATTTAATTATATAAAAAAGGATTTTTCAAATTGATTTATAAGTGACGGAGTTGTGAGGTAACACTTTCTTTTGAAAGGCGGTTGAGAATTAATATAGGTAATACCTACAGGAATAAACTTTATTGATTAAAAGATCTATAAAAATCTATTTAAAATCAGCGACCTAATAGTGTAATATAGTCATAATAAAATTAAGAGATAAAACTAATTAAAAGCTTCCTTCTTTTGAATGTCGTTTCAAAATATTAAAATAGTACCTATTAAATCTTTATTAATAAGGAAATGGCAGCTTAGTCACCGATTTCCGATATACAGACCCCTTGACAGACAGTATATAAAGACGAAAACTTTGGCAAAACGTGATACTAACGCCCATAAAGATCGCTATCGTGACTAAATAAATATTCCATATTCCTTGCAATGGTTGCAATGTCATAAATTCAATGCCAATGACTTAATATATCAGAGTAATTAAATACCAGACCACACAATTTTATTTAATATTTAATTACTACATTAATTAAGAAAAATAATACAGAACAACTACTACTAGAACTGTGTACACGTATATAATCTTTTCTCTATTAAAAAAAAAAATTATTCAGACTTCAGAAACGTTTGCATGCATGATTGATTTTATTGGACGAGTTGCGGAGCGGGGGGAGCTTCGTCATCTTCTCCAAAAGTACTTCTTGAATATTTCGGATTTTACCCGGTATACCATACAGGGTGAAGGAGTATTAAGTTTTCTTTAGGGTCGACAACGCGCATGTGACACCCCTGACTACCGATCACCGCCTGTAGTGATCTTTTACCATCAGACGGGCTATATACTTATTTGCCATCTCCGTAGTATAAAAACATCTACTAACGGAATTTATTATATATTCTTATTACGTATGTACATTTTCATCAAAAAACATGTTCGTCAGACTTCTTTTACTGCATCGGCGGTAGTCCCTTACCATCAGTTGTACCACTTACCTTACTTAGGTAGTCACTTATCTTTGTTTGCTTTCTGTTTTAAAAAAATGGGTCTATTGTGTTGATGCTTTTCCTCGACTCCTCATACTTATAGTCATATATAAGACTTATAGATAACAATGAGCTTCTCTAAACTATCTGACGTCACATCTTATCATACGTATGTATGTCGAAAGTTAATGAGGGATCATTAACTAGATTACTTTAGATGTCACTGCCAATTATGTAAATACTCATGGAATATGACACAAAAAATACATATACTTAGCGAACGTATTGCTTGGAACGTACTGCCAACCTTGATTTCACTTTCGAACTTATCATTGTAACAAGAGATCAAAGCACCTTACACTTTCAAGAATTCATGTAATTACTTCAGTAATTAATATACTTTATAATATTTTTTTATAATTATTAATTAAAATAAATCATTATATATCTACAAGAAAAAGAAATAGATTTACGCTTCGCTTATCTTAGTAAATTGAGTTCATCTTATAATGGTAAACATATTATTTTATTATATTGTTTCGATAAAGTAGCACATACTTATTTTTTTAATTAAAATATAATTCCTTCATAATATAAAAAAAATCATATCTATTTCATTGTGTTTTGAACACACTTAGCAGCACACAGCAGCTTACTTATGTATTCCATAATAGATAATAATAAAAAAAACATACTTCTTTGTCTTCAGCATCACTCATATAGCTTTTTAAGCATAACCTAACTCTAGTAAATTGATTAGCATTTTTAATTGTCTAACCTCGAGATGCTTTCCAATCAACGAACGAAACTTTACTACAGCTGAACTCATCTAAATTACAAAATAGCTATAAAATGTGTAACATGAACAAGTGTGGGCTATAAATTAATAACGAGATCAAGCGCGACCTTGACCCGGAAAGAGAAAGCATTTCGTGACTAGTAACTGATGATAAATTAATCGATAGTGTTCACCCAGACTATTAATAATATCAATAGGACTATCGGTAGTATCGATTAAATCGATTGATATTAAGCATTATGTTTCAGTCAGTTATTATCAGTTTAACGGTTAAGTGATTATATAGTTATGAGATTATAACATTACTAGATTTTAGTAACACTATCGATAGTATCAAACGGTATTTTGTTTAAGAAAATACCAAAAGTAGTATCAATTAATCGATTGTATCTTTCGAGTACTTTCTATCAATTTTATCGATTATTAATAAGTGTTAGTGTTTTAGTAAATATAATCGATAAATTTTTAATAATCGAATGATAATGACAGTATTACATAATCGATTATTAGATTATT